AATTACAGACTATCGATGAAAAAAATTGTATGACAGTTTAAAATCCAATATATTTAAAATCCAACATTTTTAAACGACTCCACAAATGTGTTCGATTTACACCAAGAGCAAAGAACCAAAAAACTTGAGTTTTAAGATAAACACTCAAAACCAATAAAGAAAACTACAAATTTGACAGATCATAAGTCATGAAAAGACAAAAAAAGATGGGTTTTAGAATGAAATTTCAACTGAATACTCTCTTTCTTGTCCAGAAACTCAGATTAAGGTTGAACTAATACATGTATATATATATATATATATATTTCAAAAAAACCCAAGAACATATAAATTCAAAACATATTATACAGTGCATTTTGGACAGCCGAACCCCAAAATATTTAGTATCTATACTATATTATAAAACATTTGACAAAAAGTCTTAAAAACCATTTTTTATGCATAAAGTACTGTATATTGATGCATATTACTTAAAATTCAAGATTACAAGTAAATTATGCATTAATTACAACTTATTAAAACTCCAGGTTTGAATTCGTGTAACTAACTACGGATAAACATAATCAAATAGAGGATAAACATCTTATTTTAAAATATAAAATATAATTAGAATAATTATCAAGTTCTAACAAAATAACTAACTAGCATCTTTGTAAGAAAATTATATTATCAAACCAAATATAAATTACATCATTAATGAATCTGAATTAAATTATAATAAAAAAATTGAATTAAAAGATTACACAAAAAATGAGAAATTTTAAATAGTTAATTTGATACTAATATCGATATATTTTTGTCAAATTTTTATGATATATTCAAAATTTTATTTTATTCAAAAATAAAAATATCATCACTTTTTGAAAATCACATAAGACCATATTATAACATCGACTGAGAAAAAAATAAAATGAAATATTAAAATCAAGATGTATCTCGCTGCATTGCATAAGTACCCTTCTAGTATATATAAATAACTAACTATAAAAGTATAAATCGTAAATATTAAATATATTTTTTCACAGTATATATAATATATAATAATATAATTAAGTCAAAAACTATTCAATATTAGACTCATTTCGAAGGTATTAACGAGACGAGACGATTATAATAGTGTAACTTGTTGAAATAAAAATGTATTTTTTAAACATGTTTTAATTGATATACGATTATGTATGCTAATTTGATAAAAGTTTAAAATGAAACATTTAAAAGTAAAGAACGTAAAGTTAATTAATTAATTATAAGGGTATAAAGTGTAAATTTAAAATTATAATTTAAAAAAATTGGTTGTGAGAGGGTGAGTGTATGTGAGGGGGTGAGTGTATGTGAGGAGAGGAGGGGATGAAAAAGTAAAAAAGTGAGTATAAATGGTATTTTGATCATTTAGTATTTTAAGACTTTTTTTAAATTTGCTTAATAAGATAGTATATATATATAGAGAGAGAGAGAGAGAGAGAGAGAGAGAGATAAAGACAGAGAGAGATGAGGTTTCAAATACAAGCAATCACATTTATACAAAGATAAATGATACATCACTTATGATGAATAGCTTGTGAATGAGTGGAAAATGCGGTGCAGTCTCCTTTGTCCCCTGATTCATAACACAATTTTAGGGGTGGAGGGAGGGGGGGACCAAATCAAATACAAACCGCCTAAATGTTACACACATGTACAAACTGAATTTCAACCGTCCATGTAGATTATCAAATCAATGTCAACAATGTGGATTAAATCGGTTCTGAAATTTAAGATAACCACATAAAAATTTCAAAATACACAAAATCAAGTGTTGAGACTCATTCATACTGTGTGTGACGTTTAGGCGGTTTTTATTTGATTTGTCCTCTGTGTGTGTGTGTATTATACTAGGTTCGAACCTGTGTATTACACGGGGTATTTTAAATGAGGAAAATGAGTTGAGACTTTTCCTCAGGTCTAAAACAAAACTCTGAAACATAAAAATTCAGAGTTTTATTGTTATGCTGGAAAATAACTCTAGACTTAACTCTGAATAATAAGAATTCAGAATTGTCTTTTAAGTCTAGAAAGTATCTATGAGCATAACTCTGAGTCACAAGAATTATGACTTCTTATAACTCAGAAACGTAACTCTGAACTTCAACTCTGAAGAGGAGTTCAAAATTGTATTCTAAGTCTAGTAATAAATTATGGAATTAAGTCTGGAACAGAACAATTCAGAGTTATGTTGTAAGTATTAGAAATAACCAATATCTGATGACTTCATGTTGGTGATTTGTATCACTAATGTCATTTAAGTGTCGTGAGATTAATTTGTTGACCAATGTAATCATGATAAATATCGAACAAGTAAGAAAGGTGCGGAGTGCACACTTGTTTGAGTTTATTTTGATTTAGGGGAGAAGCCCCTAAACGACGGGGGTTCAGGGGCACCGCCCCTGGTGGCGGGGTTTAAGGGGCAAAGTCCGTGGCTGAGGTCGAGTTGAAGTATTGCGTATTAATGCATTTTACTTAAAATTTAATATTACAAGTAAACTGTGCATAATTACAACTTATTAAAACTCCATTTTAAATTCGTATAATTAACTAATTACATATAAAAATAATCAAATATAAGATAAACATCTCATTTTAAATATACAAAATCTAAAATATAATTAGGATAATTATTGAGTTCTAACAGAATCATGATCTTTATAAAAAATTTATTATTAAGCCAAAAATAAATTACTTCACCATTGACCTAAATTAAGTTATAAAGAATTGAATTAAAGAAATTGTAAAAAAAACGAAAACTTTTTAAATGGTTAATTTAATATTAATATCGATATACTTTTTCAAATTTTTATGATGTCTTCAAATTTATTTTTATTTAAAAGTAAAAACGTTATATTTTTCAAAACCATATTATACCAATAAATACAAAAAATAAAATGAAATATTAAAATCAAGATGTATATTGCTGCATTATGCAAGTACCCTATAGTGTGTGTATATATATATATATCATTTTTGTCTCATGTATTTATCAAATATCAATATATTTAAAAATATTCTATTTCATAATAAAAATTCATTTCATTTCGTTGAACCATCGTAATCATCTCTCTACAAATACTCCACTTGCATTCTTGCACCAAAAATCCCAAACCCATAACAAAAAGAGTCATGTATGTATACAAACTAGACACCGGAAACCGCCAACCGGACCCTCATCACCACCCATCAACGCCACCGCACACCACCGCCAAAAAAACCATTTCCCGGAGCTTAGGATCACTATTACGAAGATCTAAAACCTACAGGGAAAACAATCACCACCACAATGACGATAAAGAAGATCGAAAAGAAATGGTCCAAGAATCGTCAAAAAACACCATATTTCCGGCGATCGAGGGCGGCAGGAGATCGGTTCCGGCGATGGAAGATGGCAGGAAATCGATTACAGATGGGAGGAAAACGGTTTCGGGAACCGGAGAAGGGAGGAAACTGGGGGCGGAAATGGAGGTGGGGGCGGTGCTAGGGCGGAGATCGGCGGAGAATAGGGCGGAGATGGTGATGATTAACGTCGGATCGATGGCGGATTTGCTTCATGTGAGGGTGTTAGTGACGGATATGCCGGCGTTTATGCAGGTTCATGCATTCCGGTGTGCCAGAAAAACGTTCGATAGTTTGGAGAAATTTAGCCCCAAACAAATTGCTTTAAACATGAAAAAGGTACCCTTTTTAAATTCATTTCCGTTTGTACCAAAATAACTGTTCACATTTTTATCTGCACAAACTTTAGTTACCTGAGAATTCACCTTCAAAAGTGGCTAAAAATTGAATTGAGACGCGGGTTAGGGGTTGTTTGGCAATTGCTGAATGGTTTGGTGCAAAATGATTAAATGGTCAAAATGATTAAAAAAATCTCATGATATAGTGCAAAATGAAATATAATTGTTTGGTAATCATGTACAATGAAATTAGGGCTCTTAATGGTTAAGGGAGATCCATGATACAAAATCATTCAGAGGGTTTTAGAACCATTAAGAAAAAGACTTTTTTTTTGTCAAACAAGATTCACTTCTTAATGATTCAGAGCTTGTCTCTTAATAAAACTATTAAGAGGTAAACAAACAACACCTTAGACTATTTCAGTCAATTTCACTTTTTCCACTAGGGGTATTTACGATGCCATTTGGAGTAAAACTGCACTGCATATACCTCAAACTGTAAAAAATTGCACGGCAAGATGATGTGCGGTTTGTACCTAAGACACTTTACGCCTACAATTCAATAATTATAATATTAAAACTTTATTATAAAATTAACGATGACGTCATCATAATCGAAACAAATAAAAATTAAATACAGTTAATTTTCAAATACATATTACATAATTTAAAATAGTCTAAGAAAACTGAAAGTATTATATAACCTAACCTAATTATTATTATTATTATTATTATACATATAATATTAACAAAATAAATATATATATATATATATATAATATATATATACGGTACGGTTTTGAATTGTAGTTTTATAACTTAAAACCATAAAGTACATCGCATTATAAGGTTTGGTAAAATCAGTAACGCAAAATATACTGAATACGTTCTAAACCATACTTCATAATACGATGTAAGCAGTTTGTACAGTTTGACGGTTTTTTAAAATATATTTTGTACAATATTAATTAAATTAATTATAAAAATGCTTACCACTTTGTGGCACTTCAAGGTGTTCAAAGTAGTTGCATGTGCATCATCATTGTTTTTATATATATATATATATATATATATATATATATATATATATATATATATATATTATATGTACTCATTTAAGGAAGAAATGATTAGTTTATGGTAACCGTGAGATTCAATTTCAACCATAAATTAAAGATTAAATTATGAAATTAATAATTTTAGTAATTTTAAATTAAAATATTAATTACCGACATTTTAATCATTCTAGATTTCTCCTCTCAACCTTCTACGTCAAACACCTCCTCTCTCCAACGAACACCATATCAACACATGATGCATGCTATCATATGTTTCATAAAATAATTCTTAGGTATGTTTACTCAAATTATTGTTCGGTAATCGTTTATCAAGTCACGTTATCGTTCATTTTATATTTTGATTAAACTGTTTTTTTAATTTCTAAATTAAATATAGTCATTTTAAAAGTAATAATAAAAATTTGATATTAAATTGATTTAATTTTCTAGTCGTATAAATAATTATATGGGTAGGCTACCAATCTAATCATGTGCCATATGATTCAGACCTTGCTTTTTGACTAACCCATGTTCTATATTATCTGCTTAAAATTAATAAGACACATTTGTTATGAATTGTTTGGCGGTTGCTAAATGATTAAGTTGTCAGAATGATTAAGAGACTCTCATGATATAGCATAAGGTAAAATATAATGGTTCGATAATTGTTTACGATGAAATTAGAATGCTGAATGGTTAAGGGAGGTCTATGATACAAAATCATTCAGAGAGTTTTGAAAATATTAAGAGACATACTTTTTTTTTACCAAACAAGATTCATCTTTTAACGATTCATAGGTTGCCTCTTAATGAAACTATTAAGAGATAAACAAACAACCCCTAAAACTCTTTAAGACAGAGAAAGTATGAGTTTTTATTCTGAATATTAATCTAACATATTTTTTAAAATAGAGAAAATAAAGCTTTTATTCTCTGTATTGCTCCAACAGATTTCCTATTTTGTTATTTAATTATAGAGAAATTTAGAAAAAAAAACTCCAAATACAGAGAATTCTCTAAAACTCTCTAATAATGAGATATACAAATTATTTTAATATTTTATGTGGTTTTAGGAAAACGATAATGTTTTTATTTCTGAACGAAATATAAATTTGTAGATAGCATAAAAAAAATAAAAATTGATGTTAATATCAAATTAACTATTTAATAGTTCTGGTTTTTATGTTGTAAGTTCTTTAATTCAATTTTTTATTACAATTTAATTTTAGGTCTAATAATAAAGTAATTTATTTTTGGTTTAATAATATAATATTTATTAAAGATAATAATTAAACATTCTATTAGAAACTCAATTATTATCGTATTTATATTTTAGATTTTTTATATTTAAAATAGATGTTTATCCTCTATTTGATTATGTTTATCCGCAGTTAGTTACACGAATTCAAACATAAAGCTTTAATAAGTTGTACTTATGCATAATTTACTTGTAACCTTGAATTTTAAGTAATATGCATCAATACACAGTACTTCATGCATAAAAAATAGTTTTTAAGAGTTTTTGTCAAATGCATTATAATATAGTATAGATATTTAAATTTTTATTATGTTATTAAAATATTCTATAAATTTATCATCATAATACATTTTAAAAAAATTATATAAAATAATAATAATTCAATCTCATTGACGAAAATGAATAAAAAATTAATTTTTCTATCCACACATCATGTTTTAGGGAATTATGTAAACTTGGAGCTTTCTGTAGTTTTATCTGTTATTTAAAACAATATAAAGAATCTGTTAGAACAAAATAGAGAATAAAAACCTTGTTTCTCTGTTTTAAAGAATCTGTTGAAGATGCTTTTAAAAAACTAATAAAATAATATTTATTATGTGAATCATTGAAAAAAATTCAAAAAGAATTATTTGAATATGCATATGTGAATACACGTTACAAATTATTCATATAAATTCATATATGTTTTTAAATCAATTGTTTTCAATGATTCACATGTAATATTATTTTAAACTTGTATTCTTACATCTCATGATATTTAGTCTTCTTATGCAGTTAAATAATCATACCATAAAAACATATATAAATATATTTAAAATATACGTCTTTGGGTATTCATTTGAAAATCCATAAACCAGTGATAACCTTAAGAACCAGTGTATTATGTGCTATTTCACATTATTTTTTCCATCTATAGTTCGAATTTAGTGTATTAATTAACAAATATTTGTTTCACAATATGAACATTGTTTACGTGTTTGTGAAACAAAAAATATAACCAAAAAGTTTCACAATATGAAACAAGCATATTATGAAGAAAAAAAAAACTATATATGTTAATCAGTATATAAAATTCTAACATCAGATAAAAAAGTATCATGTGAAACAATACTTTACAATAATAATTCTCATAATTATCACAGTACATAAAATTATCAGATATAATCAAACCCCATAAATCAGATATAATCAAATTATATCAAATCAAATCATTAGGTTTGAATACCCTAAAAACAAAAGCAGACAAGATTTTGTCTACATTTTTGTGGATTATTCGAATTTAATTTTTATAATTAAATTATTTATTTTATATTATTATTTAATTAATTTATTTTATTTTGGGCAGGAATTTGACAAGATATATGGGCCGGCCTGGCATTGCATTGTGGGCTCAAGTTTTGGGTCATTTGTGACCCATGCAACCGGTTGTTTTCTTTATTTTTCTATGGAAAAATTATATATTTTAGTTTTTAAAACAAAAGTTCAAAAAAATGTCAATAATTTGCAATAAAAAATTGAAACAAAAATCAATTTTAAATATTAAAAAATATAGTTTTATTTTTGGGTTGTTTTAGTTTTTTTTTATTTTATTTTTCTTAAATTTGTATTGGATTTGTTCACTGATTGTTGTATGATTTTGAGACCTGTACATAAAAAAAAAGACTGTATACGATTGAAGTTTTGTTTTTACTATTTTCGTTTATTGAATCTGTTAAAATGGATATGATTAGTTGACTTGATTCTACGTCTTGCATAGATCATCTACGGTATTGGTGTTAACTGTTCGAACATTTAACGAGCTGTTTGAACTTAATAATTCTCGAGCTTTAGGAGCCGTTTACCAAATGCTTACCCGAGTAAGCGCTTACTAAATCACATTACATTATACGATTAATATGGTAAGGGCCAAGAATCTTACCCGGTAAGAGCAAGACAAGGACCAAGAGTCTTACCCGGTAAGTGAGGGCAACGACTCTTACCACGGTAAGTGTTTACTGGGTAAATTGTTGCATACGATGCCGTTTTGATGGACTAAAATCTTATCCAGTAAGTAAATGATAGTGTTAATTTTTGCCGGTAAGCACTTACCGGGTAAGTGCTTATGCAATTACAAACACAGGTATTGTCGTGCCTTTTTCAAAATACGAGGTGGACGGAAAAAGTTCTGAAAAAGCTTCCCATTGTAGACGTTCTTAGTTTATTAACAACTGTTTTCCTTAAATAACGAGAGAAAGGGGCTCGAACCCTTGTTGGTAACTTAAGTTATATATAAACAGATATATTCCTATTTCGTATCCACAAATAAAACGTGTTTATAACTGCAAGAATTCCATTTTCAGTTGTGTTATTGATTTATCTAAACTGATGCCGTAATAAAATAAATCAAAATCAACGAAAACGACTCATCATACTTTGTTAAAACAGTACTTGCAATAATAAAACAGTAACTTTTATTCGTATCTGTTAGTCCCGAAGGGCAAGGCAATAAGCAGAAAGTAATTGTAGAAGGGGGGGTTGAATACAATTACACAGATTTTTTCAACTTTTTAATTCTTATTGATTTATATCAAGAATTAATACACACAGAAAAACAAAAGATTGTTGCGGAAGATAGGAAAGGAAAACCTAACCTAAACAATCTTTCAAAGAG